TTAAAAGAAGAAATATACCAATTAAATAAGAAATATTGCATTTAAATGAAAAATATCAAATTTTTGCAACCAATACCATGCCATAATAATGCTCACGTTCTACGTTTTGGCCTCAGACTCTTTCATAGACTGTCAAAATAAAAACTTCATATCGCTTCACTTTTGTTGTTTTTCTAATGACTGTAACGTTGTTATGTTCATGACGTCATAGTAAAGTAATTTAAATTTAAAATTTAACTTAAAAGACAATAATGATAGAACATTCAGTATGATAAATTAAATAACACATAGCTGAGACGGTGATAGAGAAGAGTGCTTGCCTCGGTTGACAATGTTTTCTCGGAGTAAAACTCTTGGGTTCCTATCTCATTGTCGTATACCTATCATTCACATTTATAACCTGTATGTTCATTAAAACTATTTTTATGACATTTTCATATACCCATATAACAATCTACATACAACTATTAGAGCATTGAAATCACATGTCAACAATATGTATAAAAGATTCTAAAGATGAAATTCCAATTTATGCAATATCACATGTTTCCCGTTCTATAGGATATTTTCAATTTTATTTAAAGATACAAATGTCAATAATTTAATTTTGGATACAGTAACACGTCTTTAACGCGGGTTATTCAGTGTGCACCACATTTTTTATGTTATTTCGTCATAGGCAGAAAACATATTTCAGTCATTCCTTAAATATATATGTATTTCCATATTCAGCTGACAATTCATCATACTGCTAAATATGTCTGATTTAGAAAAAAAAGTGTTTAGAAATGTACACTGAATGAAAACATAACGAAACATAACAGTAAACAACACACGCCAGATCAATCTAATGACTGGGTTACACAAACCCCTTAAAACAGTGAAATCATGTGCGCAGTGTCATCTCCAATATTAAACCCCAGTTCTATTGTTATACTTCATAATTTCTATTTCTGAAACAAGTGTAAATTGAATAGATCTATTGTTACGAATAACAATTGATTTTGACCACAGGTTGTGACGAGCGGGGTTTCTGGAAACCCCTGTTTCTACATCCCGAAAACACAGTCCATTGTTATTCATAACAATAGAAATTGTTTTTAATAACACGAACAAACGAGATTACTAATAGTGTTCACTACAAATTGTTTCAAGACATATTAAAAAACATATTTCAGGAAATTCCAATAGCGAAAAAAATATTTAGCATCTATTTTGAATAAAAAAAAAATCATTTAAATACTCCATTGCTTGAAGCTAAAATTTTAATCCCATATGGCAATGACTTAAAGAACATACATGTATGTTCCTACATATGCAATATGTTAATTAAGCGTGTCCGGTCGTCGGGTTTCTAATCCAGTTACATTTTTTGATAAAACCGTAGCATGTAAAATACATTTATGATTACCTCCATTAAACTGATACATGTTAGTACTTTGGGTTATAAATATTGCGTTATCTTCAGTCTCTTCTGCCAAATCCAAAGCCTCAAAATGTCGTCCGTCTTATACCCGTCCATATTGACAACTGCATACAAGGAACATGATATATTTTTTTGTAATAAAAATGCACGATACGGCCAACCTTGACCTGCAGTTCCATATTATCACATGCATTTAACGGGAATATGCAAAAACAGCAACTTTGACATTTGTAAAATCTACTCACTTGTCAAAGTATGAATGAAGATCGTCAAAGAAAGGTTACTAGTGGGGTTTTTCCTTATTATTATTTATCATGGTTTGATATTGTCAATAAAAATGCTATCCGTTCTTCTTCATTTAAAATTCAATATAAACAAATATAGTGTTTAGTATCGGGTGTAAGTTAGTTATACGCTTCGGGATACGGTGTGTCTGGATAAGAAACCTCTTCCGCCTCCGGCCGTCGGGGTTTCTTATCCAGACACACCTATCCCTCAGTGTATAACTATTACGTCATACAAAAACTCACCAACGATTCCAGGCTTATACTATTATTGTACGCTAAACGCGCGTATTGTATACAAAAGGCTCATCAGTGTCGCTCGATTCATAAATAAAAGAACAAATAAACACGAAGCTGAACTTGAAGAGCATTTTGAGCCATCAAATGCTGTGGTCCATATCAAAATTGACCAACGCCTTTTCAAATTGTAGTTTTGAGCCGTTTGTTAATAGCATAGTTTACATTTTAAATGTTGAGAAAGATGAGATTTAATTTACAAAAACTCAAAAGGGCACAAACAAGCTCTTATACTATATATATATATAAGCAGCTTAGTAAAGATTTGGATATATTTTTTTTAAATTACTCTGCGTACTCTTAATAGTGTTATATGCATATCATATCAAGAAAGTCATGTGAAGTGGTCGACCATATGAAATTGTTTTTTTATTGTTCCTGGAAAAATAAGATATTTCTATATCTCGGTTTGGATTAGAAAGTTTTTCTTGAAATAAGTGACACACGGCCGTCAACTAAAAGATTTATTCAAAAGTGGTTCCTTTTGTCTAACTTTGCATCTCCAACGCTCGACTAAACATCCTCAGCGATGGTCATTAAATCTACAGCGCTTGACTTTATATCTCCATCGCTAAATATTTTATATATCTTTAGCGCTTGACTTTATATCTCCTACGCTGTAGTTTAAATCTACAGCGCTGGCCTTTACATCTCCAGCGCTGGTCTTTAAATCTACAGCGCTAGACTTAGATCTGCAGCGCTGGACTTTGGACCGTCAGCGCTTGACTTTAGATCTCGAGTGCTGGATTTGATATCTCAAGCACTTGCCTTCAAAACACAACTCTTTATTTGTATGATACCAACAGGGCTCCGTACTTTCTCTTTTCCCACAAGTACTTACTAATAGCATATTCGACCAATAAACTTTAAAGGTCAACGTTCGTCTTGACCGATTTACATACAGCCGAGGGGCATTGAATAACATAAGCGAGATGGAGACTATTTGTCTTTTCATTTGCTGTAAACGAGTTATAACATTGATGTAACATAAGACATTAAGGGAGCTACCATTTGATTTTTATGGGAGGGGGGCTAGGATGAAATTTGAAAAAAAGCAGGACAGGAGTTTTAAGTAAAAAAAAAGGCAGGATGAGACACTTTGCAAAAAAAAAAAAGGCAGGATGACAATTATGGTAAAAAAAAGTCAGGATAAACAAAAAAAAAACAAAAAAGGCAGGACCGAATAGAGTGAAAAATAAAAAGGCAGGACAGAGATTACAACTAAAAAAAAAATGCAGGACAAAATTTTTCATCCTAGGCCACCTACGCTCTATGGGTCTTGACTATATCAAGAAAAGAAGGTGTGGTATGTTTGCCAGTGTGATAACGTCCAACCAGAGACCAAATGAGGTAGATGTAAACAACTTTAGGTCACCGTACGACTTTAACAATAAGCAAAAACCCATACAGTATAGTAATTTATATTAACTTGACAAAATGTAAAACAATTCAAACAAGAAAAACCAACGACTTTATTTATAAATCAGGCATTCCCAATGCAACGGTATAGGTTTTGATGGATTTGTGAAGTCCTGGTGACCATATTTCTATAACACAGTCTACACTTTTGGTAAGATTGTACGAATACTTTTACTTTTAAAATGAAACTAAAATGTAGTACTTAAGATACTGGTATAAATGGTTAGAAGTGAATGTTTATAGCCTTGGTGTTCTTACATGAGGCAAACTTGTTTTAAGAGGGGAAAGAAGGATCCTTTTTCTTTCTTTTCTTTCTTTTCTTCTAGTTGTTTTATTTGTTTTTCGATCCGCGCGTTTTAAAAAAAATATAGAAAGTTTATCATCTGATAAAAAAAAACATATTGTTCTCTTGATAAAAACTTTATGGTAGTGCAGAACAAATTTTTATTGTTTATATAATTTATAGACACTTGTCAGATGTTTGATTAAAACAACCGACGTAGAACGTAACGAATTACGAACAACCGAGAAATGCCGTGGGAGCATTTGCTGAGAAGTACAACATGTAAAACCACACGCACTGATCATGACATCATAATCGGTTATCAGAAAATTACCTTTTAATGATATTTTAAACGAGAAGTAGTCTAAACTTTTGACATGGAGTATAAAGGATACAGGGAGGATCAAATTAAACAAAAATGACATCAAAACCGACAAATAACAACGAATCATGTTTACAACTCCTGTAATTATCTTGTTAATGGTAATGTTATGAGAAAAACCGTGTTGACATACCAGTACTACGTTCCTTACATTTCACGAAAGCATGTAATTTAAAATTAATTTATCCATAGACTCTTTGTATCCCACTTTTAAATCATTGATACGACGCATGCATTAGTTTTAAATAACAGTTATATATATATACATATCTTTTTAACTCCCCTTTCTTTATTTAATTTACTATCAATTTGTTTATTAGTTACAAGGGTCCTCTTAAAGTTTTACACATTACAGTTAAGAAGAGGACAGCACAATCAACGGTTATTTTGTGTAGATATATTTTTGCAGTTAGTCTAAAGTACTTTTATCATCCATGGGTCTTTTATAGATTCATATATATAATGTGTTTTGCTCATTGTAAAAGACATGAAATTGTTCGGATCTTTTTCCTATCGTTTTTATCTATAGTTGTCTCACTGGCAATCATATAATATCTCCTGATTTTATCTATGAAAACCACTGTTATAACAAATAAACTTTCATTTCAATCAGAGGACGTTTTTGATTTTTTTTATCATATATATCTGCAGTTAAGAAGAGAATTAACATATCACCTTGTATACCAGTGCTTTGATTTTCTTTTATATTTTCAAATGTGTCTGACACAATGTATTAAAAGGTATGCTATTCTGGCATGGTGTTGAACCGATCTTAATTGATTTGTGTTGTTCGATCAAATGCGTTGTTCTTAAGTTACTCATGCGCAAAGAAACACGTTGCTGTCTTATTAACACATTTATTATTCCTTTTTTTTAGTATAAAATGATAAAATATTAATTATATTTTAGGAGATCCCAATGACGAGTATGAACTTCGGAAGCGACCTATAAATGGAGATGCAGATAGAAACAGCGATAATGGTGGTGTGGTGATCGAAAATACAGTAAATCTTAAAAAAACAGTCGGTCTTATCAGTGGTACATCTTTCATCGTTGGAACTGTCATAGGTACATTTTGTGCATCAAAATATAAAAACAAATGAAGCAAATGCACATGAGAAAAAACTTTCAAAAATATAGAAAAAAGTAAACTCTCGTGTAGTATTCAACTAAAATCTAGTTTATGCGGCGCGTATACTATAATAGTATGTCATAGGTATATGAACAAATGTTCTTATCTTTAATTAAAGTACACCTTATATTAAGCATTCGTAATATATAACACATTGACAAAAGGGGAAAAATAAATTACAAAAGCAAAGCTTCAAGAGATATATGTATAACATAATGATTGAGACGCATCTATATATAACAGTGAGAAAATGTGGTATGATTGTCAATGTGACAACTATCCACTACAGATCAGAGGAAGAAGTTGTATGCAATTATATGTCACCCCATGGACTTCACCAATGAGCAAAATCAATCCTGTATGGTAAGTTATAAAATGCCCGGGCAATAGAAAATGTGAAACATTTCAAAAGAGAAAACCAACGACTTGATTTATGCTAAATATGATAAACGAAAACATATCGTAGCAGATAGCAACCAACGATAATAATGTTCAAGATTAACTATGAATTAATAAGTAACCTATGTTAAATGTCAATTACTCGATTCATACAAGAAAAAAACATATTATCTTTTATCAGGATCCGGAATTTTCATCTCACCAAAAGGTGTTCTTTCGGAGACTGGCTCAGTCGGACTGAGTTTAATAGTATGGGGTGTAGGAGGTATTCTTTCTTTACTTGGTGAGTTTACTTTACAATATTTCGCATAGAAGAAAATGTAAAATGACTCGTCATGATTGCGTTAATAGTTAGTAGATATACGAATTGTTCGCTGTTGTCCTGTAAATGTTCGTTTAGCAAATACAATGTAACAATTATTTATATATCTCTAAAATAATTATGTCCATTCTTTAGACTATCCCCTCGTTACATATGCTAATAAAAAAATTAAATTCATACCTTTAAATATAATTGTATTTATAAAATCATATAAATTGCAGACTACGAAATCGTCGTACATGAATATTTATTGCCGGTACAAAAGACCATTGTGTGTAATCTGTACATTTCACGCTTCATAATCGGTTTCCTAGTCATTATAATCAATATAAAAATCGCTCATCAGACAACACAAGTCTGTGTCCACACTTGTTATCAATATCAAAAAGAACATGTTGCCTATACCTCAGACGGAAACCCATCCTAAAAATAAAAGACAAAACAAAACAAAAAACAGTAAAAGACATCTTTAAGTCAACATAGCGTCTGTCGTTACCAAATACATGCATATACACAAATTTACTACAAATTGTTTTTGCTATCGTCGATGAGATTGTGGTTGGGATTTTGTTTGGTATGGGTTTTCTGTTTCACAAAGTCAATCGGAATAAATACAAGTACGGCAGTGTTTGAAGTTTAAGCACATTTTTTCTACAACATTATTCTTTCTTTAAGCTTCTACTAAAAAGTGAAACAGATAACAAATTGATTTCCTATCTAGATCTGAACTATTTTTATGCCCCCGTTATTGCTTTACCCCTGTCCGTCCGTCCTTCCGTCCGTCCTACCGTCCGTCCCTCCGTTTGTCCCATTATAGGTGTATAGCTATTCAACACAACTCCTCCTACAGTTTGAATGTTAGGAAGTTTCACTTTGCTGGCTGTTTGTACATGTATTGAAGGTGTGCACGTGGTCAGGGTTATGATTTTTATTGATATTTGCTCTTTTGGGAGATAGTTGAACTTTGCCATTTTTGGAGTATATACTTGCATAAGAGGTGCATAGGTATTCCAGATAACTCCTCCTACAGTTTGAATGATAGGAAGTTTTCACTTTGATGGCTGTTTGTACATATATTGAAGGTGTGCATGCGGTCAGGGTTTTGATTTTTATTGATATTTGCTCTTTTATGAGATAGTTGAACCTTGTCATTTTTGGAGTATATACTTGCAAAAGAGATGCATAGCTAATTCTAGATAACTCCTCCTACAGTTTGAATGATAGGAAGTTTTCACTTTGCTGGCTGTTTGTACGTATATTGAAGGTGTGCATGCAGTCAGGGTTTTGATTTTTATTAATATTTGCTCTTTTGGGAGATAATTGAACTTTGTCATTTTTGGAGTACCAGGTATATACTTGCATAAGAAGTGCATAACGTTTCCGGATAACTCCTCCTACAGTGAACCATAGACCTATGTGCTCCTATGCTCATCTTTGTGTATTTTAAAATAACACTTTGCATCTGCGGGGGCATCATTTGTGTCTCCCAGACACAATGATATCTCAAAGAAAGTCATACATTGACTTTGTTATAATACAGTTACTTCAGAGTAGAGTGCGGGGGCATCACTTAATCTAGTTTCTCATTAACACCGGGTTTATAACTATTTCTTCTAAAATTAATTATAAATGGAAAAATTTCGAAGAAAATCACAGTGACAGTTATTGTATTGAGGTTAAGCTTGTTTTTTCTTTGTTTGTTTAGGGTCTTTGTCTTATGCCGAGTTAGGATGCATAATAAGGAAGTCAGGAGGAGAATATGCATACATAGGCGCAGCTATGGGACGTGTGCTAGCTTTTCTCTTTGCTTGGACAAAAGTCATAGTGTTAACGCCATCGAGTGTAGCTATCATTACTTTAACGTTTGCTCAATATTTTATTACATTTTTCCCATACTGTGGAATACCGGCTGTGCCTCTTAAGATTATAGCGGCAACTACGATAGGCAAGTATTTTTAAGACATTGATATTTTTATAATCAGTCAACGATTTTTAAACTATATATTTTGTGTACTATTCCATGTATCTAAGTGGACACACATTTTTTCCATGTATATATAATGATGACCGTGTAGGTTCTTTTTAAAGTCAATGTAAATATAAAACAATTGCTTACATGGTTTACCTAATTTCAAAACATATCTAATTTATCAAAAATTTACATGTCAAAGATGCAGTTTTGCCTTCCTTCGAGGCAGGTCCTTAGCCATCTATAAAAAGGACCCGTAAAAAAGCATCAGAAGAGGTGTAAACAAGGACAAACTCGGTTTGTTAAAAGTATCAATGATAATTCATCAGATAACCAACTACCAGGCTATAAAATATTCCTATCGATTGATTCTTATAACTTTGTTCATACCTGAACGAAAATCCCCCACCAAAAAAGATAAGTAAACTTGTAAACGTCACAAAATATAACTAGTAGCCAAACAGGTCTGGAGATGTTTCCTATTTTCGAAAACTTTGGTCTATTCAGATAGCATGCTTTAATTCTTAAATGCTTTAGAAATACTGTTGTTTTTAAGAGGTTTATCCTTTAAATAACAAAACAGAGAAGCAGGGCTTTTTTGCCTTCGTTTAAGGATAAGTATAGTTTTCTATAATTTCTCAAAGACTTAAGTTTGGATTTTCCGTTTTTTATTGCTTTTAACACTAATTCTTGTTAAATTTGTTAAGTTGTATAGATATATCAGAGCAGAGACAGAAGTAACGAAATAAATTTTTGTCTAGTTTGTCCAATTTCACAAAAAATCAATTTAAAAGTCGATTGCCAATTAATGTTTCTACTTGTTAACATGCACATTGTCAATACCAAGTTTTGCTTCACTACTTTGTTTTAATTTTTATATTATTGAATGATTGGTTTTTTATATGCTTTAGTACTAGTCCAGTTGTAAATTAAATATCAGTAGGATGAAATTTATTGATGTTCGCAAACACAATCCATCAAGCACACACTCGTCTGAAATGTAAATACTTCAGTTATATTATGTAGATAAAATATAACAATACTGTGTAACTGTATTTACACTAGGAGGTTATATAATGTTTACACTTCTAGATTAAAGGATACTTTGTTTTAAAAAAAAATATTCATATTTTGTCCAAGTACATTTAGTGCGTTTAATCCTGCACACATAACACTAAAATTAGTTGAACACAAGAGAATGAAAAGAGCTCAGTAAACATTTAAAATCTAGTATCATCATATTTCTCCATTGAGCACGTCACCAATCTTTGGTTTGCAAGTGTAATATAATAATACTTGAAATGGCGTCGTGCACTATAGCAAAACATGGTATTCTTGTCGTGCTTAAAGTTTTGCATGCACGAAAAGGTTATTTCACATGTATTGACTTTTTTTGGCAAAGTTGCTCATTCTGGCTTTTTTTTACTCAAAACTCCTGTCCTGCCTTTTTTCAAATTTCATCCTAGCCCCCATCCCCATAGAAATCAAATGGTAGCTCCCTTAACAGACATGGATGGGTATTTGCAAAAAGTAGCAGTCGAGATACGGTAAAAATTGGCATTTTTCGCAAATACTTCTTTTTGGCATGATATATATTTTTAATTACACCAAATAACTTTCAATAGATCATAGTTAAGTTAAAAAAATCCAAATTCAATTTCGTTATTATTCTGCTTCAAGACGTAAGCAAAAACAACCGCTTTTAAATAAAGCACACACAATGTTCAAACGTCTCCGTGAAGGGTAAAAAAAGCATTCTACTACACGTTTTGGCAAAAACCACGACACAGGGTGTAAAAAAGTATATCATACTACATATATCCCATCGGTGATGAAACATAAACAGTACACAGTTTATTGAAGAAAATACACAAGCTATCAATTCATGATACTAGGTGTATTTATAACTTGTGTAAGTTCAATAAACCTGTAGAGTATGAAAAAAAGACATGTTAATCTAATTGTAGACTACTACTAGTACTAAGTATAATATTGCTGTTCAGTCATCAACGAATATTTCAACATTCTTATGTTCTAATCTTTGTTTATATTTTTGCTGGCTTTTAATTCTTCCTGTTAAGTAAAATGAAAGATAAATTCATAGCAATGCAAACAAACATAATAATAATAAACAACCTTGCGTGCGTTGTACTTTTTTTTCAAGTTCGTAGTAAAAGAGAGGCGAAAGATTCAAGAGAGATTCAATCTCATAAGTCGAAAATAAACTGACAACGCCATGGCAAAAAAGAAAAAGACCGACAAACAAACAGCAGTACAAAAAACACAAAATGGAAAACCAAAGACTGAGCAACACGAACCCCACCAAAATGTTTGTAAATGTTTCTGTTTTCTTGTAGAGCACTTTTTGTTTATAAATAATTCTGTCATTCTTTCAGTTACTCTGACCATCATCAACTGTTATGATACAAGAGCAGGGGCCAGTGTTCAAGTATTCTTCACAGCAGCAAAGCTTATTGCTCTAGTCATTATTGTTATAGGAGGCCTTGTTAAACTAGGCCAAGGTAAACATACAACAATCATTTCAAAAGAAGCAAAATCAATATGAATATAGAGAGTTGTCTCGGAAATTTCGCATCAAAATTTAATAAAAAAATCTCACCATATCTAATTTTCAAAAAATAAAGAAGATCACAATCCTTATATCACACAGAGTTGGAAAAACATGTGAAAAAATTCAACAAAGCCGACTATATATAATATATATATATATATAGAAGTCTATAAAAAGGACCAACCAGCAAATTTACTATGTACCGGATCGTCTAGAATAGACGATACTGTGCAGGTAAGGAAAAAATTATATAAGTCTAGAGATTTGCGCAACGATACTAATATAAGATGGTATTATACGAAGATGTTGCAAATAAATCGTGTTGACAAATATTTCGGCTTAACAAATAGCCTTCTTCAGTGTCAATTATTTTAACAATACTGATTATATGTATAAAAATAGCTCAATAATACAGGTAAGTTTTGGTCTATTGATTTAATCCAAAATCCTGAACATCATAATATAAAACAAAACTCAATACTCAAATATACGTGACTGTGTATATTTACATCCCAAAATGAGTGAAAAATAAAACTCAGTATTTTTTATTGATGCCGTTTGGATGATGTACATTTAGTTCCTTTATCCAAAAGTTTTCCCGAACCTGTCGCTGAGCATCACTCCAGTGTATGTTCTGTTCAATCACTAGGATCTTCATGCGGTTAAAGTCATCAAGTTTGTGACCAGACTGTCTGAAATGCTGAGAAACTGGCTTCTTAGAGATATCACTCCTATGGCCATTGAGGCGTTTGTGGAAAGGCTGCTTTGACTCACCAACATATTGGAGGCCACAAACCGAACATTTTAGAATGTAAACAACATTCATACTTTTGCATTTAACATTGCAAAATATCTTATAGTTATTTTCGGTTGCCTTACTGTGAAAAGTTGATGAGTGATGCATCTGTAGGCAGCATTTGCAGCGTTTTTCATCACACGAACGACATTCTCCAGAAGTACTTCTATTATCAGACACTTCAGCCCGCACCAGCAGGTTACGCAGACTATTGGGTTGCCTAAAAGCTATCATGGGAGGCTCGGGAAAAATCTTGGATAGTTTGGAATTCTTTTCAACTGTTTTCCAATGCTCACGAATGACACCGAAGCTGTTTTTGAGAGATGGGTGGTAAGTAAGACCACATGGACTCCTTTTATTTTTCTTTTTATATTTGTATTCTAACAGTTTACTCCTTGGAATAGTTTCCGCTTTCTGAAAGCCTTTTTGGATAGTTCTGTGTTTGTAGCCCCTTCTCTTCAAGCGGGTTTCGAGTTGACGTAGTTGTTTTTTAGTTGTTTCTATGTTGGAACATATTCGCTTGACTCTGAGTGCCTGACTGTACGGGATGCTCTTAGTACAATAAGCAGGATGGCAACTTTTAGGGGACAGATATTGGTGAGTGTCGCGTCGAAGGAGAATAACAACAGATGCTCGGATAGCGACTCAGAAATTTCAGAAGACGAGAACAACTACAAATTTATAAAAAAGAGTACTTGGATCCCTAAACCGAGCGGTTATTCTCCTTCGACGCGAACCCAGGAAGACCTATAGTTTCAGCGAACGGTCATCCGACGGAAAAAATATCGGAATTCTTTGACTTCCATCTTCGTCAACATGTTGAAGATACTACCGATTATCTTAGAAAATTGCAGGCCTTAAATCCACTCCCCTCCGACACGACACTTGCCTCTATGGACGTCACCTCCCTCTACACGAATATTCCACATGCAGATGGCATTGATGCATGTAAAGAAGTTTGGAATTCCCGACCAGTGAAATATCCACCTACTGAATGCCTGGTCAAAATGCTCACGCTGGTACTCAAAAACAACAACTTCACTTTTGATGGAGATCATTATCTGCAAGTTAATGGAACTGCTATGGGCACCAAAATGGCTCCATCATATGCCAACATATTTATGGGCAAATTAGAAAAACAACTCCTTGAATATTCCATCGAAAAACCGCTTTCCTGGTTTAGATTTATAGATGATGTGGATATGAAATGGAATAAAAGTGACGAGGATTTAGATACATTCATCACTCATGCCAACAACATACATCCAAGTATCAAATTTACTCATGAGAAATCTAAATCCAAAATCACCTTCCTCGATACCTCCAGCTCGCTCACAGATGGCATCATATCCACTGATCTTTATTCTAAGCCTACTGACACTCACCAATATCTGTCCCCTAAAAGTTGCCATCCTGCTCATTGTACTAAGAGCATCCCGTACAGTCAGGCACTCAGAGTCAAGCGAATATGTTCCAACATAGAAACAACTAAAAAACAACTACGTCAACTCGAAACCCGCTTGAAGAGAAGGAGCTACAAACACAGAACTATCCAAAAAGGCTTTCAGAAAACGGAAACTATTCCAAGGAGTAAACTGTTAGAATACAAATATAAAAAGAAAAATAAAAGGACTCCATGTGTTCTTACTTACCACCCATCTCTCAAAAACAGCTTCGGTGTTATTCGTGAGCATTGGAAAACAGTTGAAAAGAATTCCAAACTATCCAAGATTTTTCCCGAGCCTCCCATGATAGCTTTTAGGTAACCCAATAGTCTGCGTAACCTGCTGGTGCGGGCTGAAGTGTCTGATAATAGAAGTACTTCTGGAGAATGTCGTTCGTGTGATGAAAAACGCTGCAGATGCTGCCTACTGCATCACTCATCAACTTTTCACAGTAAGGCAACCGAAAATAACTATAAGATATTTTGCAATGTTAACTGCAAAAGTATGAATGTTATTTACGTTCTGGAATGTTCGGTTTGTGGCCTCCAATATGTTGGTGAGTCAAAGCAGCCTTTCCACAAACGCCTCAATGGCCATAGGAGTGATATCTCTAAGAAGCCACTTTTCCCAGTTTCTCAGCATTTCAGACAGTCTGGTCACAAACTTGATGACTTTAACCGCATGAAGATCCTAGTGATTGAACAGAACATGCACTGGAGTGATGCTCAGCGACAGGTTCGGGAAGGCTTTTGGATAAAGGAACTAAATGTACATCATCCAAACGGCATCAATAAAAAATACTAAGGTTTATTTTTCACTCATTTTGGGATGTAAATATACACAGTCACGTATATTTGAGTATTGAATTTTGTTTTATATTATGATGTTCAGGATTTTGTATTAAATCAATAGACCAAAACTTACCTGTATTATTGAGCTATTTGTATACTAGTACATATAATCAGTATGGTTAAAATAATTGACACTAAAGAAAGCTATTTGTTAAGCCGAAATATTTGTCAACACGATTTATTAACAAAATCTTCGTATAATACCATCTTATATTAGTATCGTTGTGCAAATCTCTAGACTTATATATATATATATATACAAGTCTAAATTGAAAACAACGTTCAAACCTATGATTGCGTTGGATAAAAACCGCAATTTGTATACGTGTGCATGCAAAAACAAATTTCTTGTTAGAGGGGTCTAAATACAGCACAAACAACATTTTCCAAAAGACCAAAAAAGTGAAAAAGTATATTTTAACAAAACGCATTTGACTAACAGGTCGAACAACAAATGTTCTTAAACCCTGCTGACTGCCATTGGCGATTGCCAAATAAACGGATCACAAGGTGTAATAAATGGATCTTAATTAAAAATTTAATACCAAACAGAAAACAATAAACTTGCGGCAAAGATGGTATACCGCAAACAAAGGTGCAAAGATTTTTGTACACCATATCCGGATTTCGACAATTAATGTCTCTTCAGTGATGTTAGGAATCGAAACAGTATTTGGAAGGCCATGTAATTTACCTCAATTAAGGATAGACTCTCGAATTTTGAGGAGTCAAATTAGGATGAACGGATCATATAAACCCGAAGGCAAATATAATACAAGCCCAAACGAAAAAATATACACAAGTCTAAATTGAAAACAACGTTCAAACCTATGATTGCGTTGGATAAAAACCGCAATTTTTATACTTGTGCATGCAAAAACAAATTTCTTGTTAGAGGGGTCTAAATACAGCACAAACAACATTTTCCAAAAGACCAAAAAAGTGAAAAAGTATATTTTAACAAAACGCATTGGACTAACAGGTCGAACAACAAATGTTCTTAAACCCTGCTGACTGCCATTGGCGATTTCCAAATAAACGGATCACAAGGTGTAATAAATGGATCTTAATTAAAAATTTAACACCAAACAGAAAACAATAAACTTGCGGCAAAGATGGTATACCGCAAACAAAGGTGCAAAGATTTTTGTACACCATATCCGGATTTCGACAATTAATGTCTCTCCAGTGATATTAGGAATCGAAACAGTCTTTGGAAGGCCATGTAATTTGCCTCAATTTAGGATAGACTCTCGAATTTTGAGGAGTCAAATTAGGATGAACGGATCATATAAACCCGAAGGCAAATATAATACAAGCCCAAACGAAAAAATATAAACAAGTTTAAATTGAAAACAACGTTCAAACCTATGATTGCGTTGGATAAAAACCGCAATTTTTATACGTGTGCATGCAAAAACAAATTTCTTGTTAGAGGGGTCTAAATACAGCAGAAACAACATTTTCCAAAAGATCAAAAAAGTGAAAAAGTATATTTTAACAAAACACATTTGACTAACAGGTCGAACAACAAATGTTCTTAAACCCTGCTGACTGCCATTGGCGATTGCCAAATAAACGGATCACAAGGTGTAATAAATGGATCTTAATTAAAAATTTAATACCAAACAGAAAACAATAAACTTGCGGCAAAGATGGTATACCGCAAACAAAGGTGCAAAGATTTTTGTACACCATATCCGGATTTCGACAATTAATGTCTCTTCAGTGATGTTAGGAATCGAAACAGTATTTGGAAGGCCATATAATTTACCTCAATTTAGGATAGACTCTCGAATTTTGAGGAGTCAAATTAGGATGAACGGATCGTATAAACCCGAAGGCAAATATAATACAAGCCCAAACGAAACAATATAAACAAGTCTATATATATATAGTATGTACTACTAGTATACAATCACCGACGAGATTAGATAAGAAAATTAAAATTAAAATGCATTAAAAGAAACAACGAAACAGTCAAACGAACAAACAAAACAAACATAAAGAAATAGGGACAGGAGAGTTGGTATTTTTTATTGGATTTGCAGGTAACTACACGTTTGATAACTTGTTAAGAGATCTACTATCAGGAGTTGTCTCATGGTAATGTGCTAACCTTGGGTGTGTTATATCACTGGTTCGATCCCCGGCTTAGTCTGACTAAATAGATATACATGTACTTTAAAATTATAAATGTTGATTTCCATATAAACAAATCCATCCATTAGAGGTTGTTATATATATTTTGAAATGTATCACATTACCACGGTTATTTTGAACATGGAAGAAGATGCCGGTTTTAAACCATCCATGTATCCATCTGACTCCAGGAATGAAATACTTGTCCTTTGGTTCCATCTTTTTAAGATATTTTGTTCAATTGATCGTAAGAAAATTTTTAGTTCTAAATTAAAATATTCTTTTAAATCACAACATATTTGTGTATTCTGTTATCTATAGGACATACAGCTACAATGAAGACAGGCTTTGATGGAACTGTCGGGTCGGCGTCGGGTGTTGCATTGGCATTTTATGATGCACTATGGGCTTACGACGGTTGGTAAGAATTCCATTTTTTCAACGCTAGTTTTAGTCTTTTATTAATGGTAGTTCATCGTAAATGGTAATGTGTAAAACAATGTTTACTACTGAAAGAAATAGATGGAAATCTACTATATATATGCCATATTGTATCACATTCATGAGCTGTTTTATAGTTCATTGATAAATACATATATACACATCCTTATTTTTTTTAAAGCTATTGCATTTTTTTTTAATTAGAATTTGTAGTCTTGTTGTTGAATGAAAAAAGTATACAAGAGGTGGACGATACCGAAGGGACAACCAAAAGTCATAAGTCGATTAAAACTGACAAAATCTTGACAAAAAAAAGAAGGACAAAAATATAAACAAGTTCACAAAATACTACATAGAAAACTAAATATAGAGCATCATGAATCCCACCAAAAACTTGGGGTGATCTCATGCGTTCTGGAAGGATATGCAGGTCCTGCTTCATCTGTGGCACCCGCCGTACTGCCCAAGGCAAGTAATCATTCCGTAACGAGTCTCATTCGCTGTTGTTATAATCGAACAAAAGAAAACGGGATGGTGGTTACGACTTTTGGAACGTACCTGCAATCATCTGTGACACCAATATTCCATAACGGTCAACTAACTCGTGATGGAGTACGCAAAAATTTCGATGGAACTGCTTCAACTTTATCACCTAGAACCCACGGTTTAATAGTTTCCTTGTAAGCAGCAACTCTCCTTTAAGGAAGTCCTGATAGGAAACGATAACTATTGAATATTGTATCAACTGGGAGATATATATTCATATGTAGGCGGTGCTGGAATGTTGCTGGATGGAAATGGCAAAATCACAATTTGGAAGCTAGAATCATACCTTTTGTTGATAAGTTTTGTTCTAAACCGTTCCTCAGTGTAAAAATCTAATATCTAGATATGAGGCACACCCACCTTGCATCTGTGGTATCATTTATTTCAAGTTCGATGGGATAGATGCGTTTAACGATGTTACCAAACTTTGAATTTATTAGTGAGAGGACATTATCTATATAGCAAATTAGTGAGAGGACATTATCTATATAGCAGAACGTGAAGTTAAAGGATACTAGGATAATGCTAGCTACCTCTCATTTTCCGTGAAAGCTTGACAAATTGTATTGACAATTGTCTACAGATAAAGACCGTACTTCTTGTTTATGTCTTTGTGTTACTTTCTTAAGTTCATTTTATTCCTACACAAAACTAGATTTACCAAAAAAAAAAAAATTGAACATAATCAAAATTTATATGATGGTCTAAGATACCAATTTAAGTGTGCGTTAACAGTGGCGGATCCAGAACTTTTCATAAGGGGGGGGGGGGGCGCTGACTGACCTAAGAGGGGGGGGCTCCAGTCATGCTTCAGAGATTCCCTATATAATCAACCAAATTTTTCCCACGAAAGGGGGGCCAGGGCCCCCAAAATCCCCCCCCCCCCTGGATCCTATGGCGTAGATAGAACGAAATAAATAACATTTTTGTATGTTTCAATGCCATTTGCTCATATACAATTTTTACTTATCTTTCTTTGTAGGAATAATTTGAATTATATAACAGAAGAACTCAAGAATCCATATGTGTAAGACTAAAATGATATTATTATAATGAAAATTCAATGTTCTGTAACATTCTGCAAATATTATACTCAGTGTGATCTCCTAGAATTGGTTTGGATATGTTTCAATCTAAATATGAAAGCTCAGTTAATAATAAGAAATAGAAAATATTATATGTATTATATCGTTTTCACATGTACTATTCTAATTTTTTTTTAAGTATTACAAAAAGTTATAGTGTTATTTTTCTTTATTTATTAATATGGTACATCTTGCTGAATTGCACAAAAGAGTTTTGTATATCGGGTAAGTATTGTTGCCTCTTAATTATATGTCGTTGAGTATTTATTTACAGTTTAGTAGCACATTTTTTGTCTAACTTGTAGAAATCTTCCTAGAGCTAACATTATTGGTGTACTGCTAGTGACCGTTCTCTACGTTTTAGCAAATATTTCATATCTTGTTGTGTTAGGAACAGATGGTTTGTTGGATTCTGATGCTGTTGCAGTGGTAATGTTTCTATGACAATGACATTAACGAAATGTGTACTGAAATATAATTATTTTAAATGAACTCTGTTGCAGTTCGTCAACTAAAAAGTTACAATTATTTTTTTGATAAATTTATATATTCGATTTAAAAAATATATTCATTAGACTTGATGGATATTTTAACACTTCTGCTTCTTGCAACATATTTTTATATAAGATGTCGGAAAACAACAGTGAGTTGTTTTTAGTAGGATTAGTATAATTTTACAATTTATTTTCATTTTCTTAATGTGATATCAAAATATTATAACACAAGACAGATTAAAAAAAAAAAAACCTCATCAATGATACCAGGTTTATAATTTTGAACGCCAGACGCTCGTTTTATCTTTAAAGACTCATCAGTGATGCTTGAATAAAAAAAAGTTAAACTGCCATATCAAGTACAAAGTTGAAGAGCATATATCGAGGACCCCAAATTCCAAAAATGTTTATTACTTTAAGTCTTCAATAAAATATCAGATGATGAAGTATGAAAATTGAAAGTGTACTACATGTAATTACACATTTTCCCCAACAGTCAAATATTGCTGAATTCAAATAAAGTTTTCTTAAATCATATGTATACTACTTATCATCATTTTAAATTTCAGACATGGGGAGAGCAAGTACTTGGATCTGCTGGTATAATAATGCCAATATTTGTTTTGTGTTCAACATTCGGTGCCGCAAATGGATCCTTATTTGCAGGAGTCAGGTAAATTAACCTTTTTCGGTATTTCAATCTTTTGTTAGCTGGTTAATAAGCAATTGACAGTGAATATTTTACTACCAATGGTAAAGTCCATCTTAGACTGATTCTTCCGGCTTTAAGGCTGCTTATGCCTTTTTACTTTCGTTGTAATTTTCTTTGCCGTTCTTGAGCTTCGAACGTCGAAACATTTGGTGTCGTTACTGCTGTGATTCCTAACTGGTTCATTCACAACATAGTAAGTGTTTTAGAATAATTTTGATATATTATTAATAGTAAAACTTTTAAGATTAATTTGATTTTGATTAATTATGTATTTTTTTTGGGAGAAACCTACGGCTCTAAACTCAACAAGGCTTAGTTGACAATAAAAGGTTTGGAATAGCTTTTCTGGACCCTTTTGTGTGCATTGCCCACAAGAAGAAATGCATTTCATTGCGTATAAAAACGTTTGGTTCTTTTTTTTTTATTGAAGAATAGACAATATGAAACAATACCAAACTCCGAAAAACAAAAGTTCAAAATCATTGGCCAAAGAAATGCGGTTTTATCAGCGATAGAAAGAAATAGCAGCATTTCTAACTCGCATTTTCTATGAAAAAGTGGTGGGACGGACAAGATTCATTTCATATCCAACAATCTATGGTTGTTATTGCCATAATTATTATAACTTTAACTTGCAATTTCGACGTAAAACGATACAATATCTTTGTTGATTTCAGAACACTATACTCTGCTGCAAGAGATGAACAATTTCCGGAAATATTGTCATATGTAAACTGTCGGAGGTATACACCAATCCCATGCCTAATATTTACAGTAAGTGCAGGTATAATAGATCAACTACTTTTCATTCCTTATAAACTTGCATTCGAGTGATGTTGTATAATTTATAAATACCTAAGTGTGGACGCAGATCAGTGTGGATATTAGGTCATGGTACTTTGGGACTTTCATACTGAATTTGGTTAATACATGAACTACCGGGGCGACTTGTTCACAATTGGTATTGATTTAAACTATTACTCAAATTTTAATATTATTAAATATTTCTATATCATACGCCCTAAGCTCGAGGGTTCCTTAAACTATTTTTCGCAGTCTAAATGGCAGTTTCTTCCGTTTGACTGCGGGGGGGTGTATAACAAGAACAATACCCGGTCTGGACTTGCGTCGCTGCATGCAGATGATTAAAGTAACATGTTTACCGGAGCATAACTTATCATTCCCAGAACAAATATTAAAATCATTCACTTCAATAGGAGACAAGAAAACTTTAATGAAATTTTTCCTTGAACAATGAGTATTGTAAAATTTCAAACTATCGTCAAACAGGAAGTGACGAACGGACGGACGGACGGAGTCACGCGGTTACTAGACCTGCTTCCGACTTCGGCGACGCAAGTAAAAACGCAGACATGGCACGGCTAATTGGAAATTTGGCATCAAATCACATACCCTTTAAATATTAAATATAAACTTGGAACAATTCTTTGAGGGGTATATGAAGAATGGGAATACAAGATCCCTCTTTGAGACCTTTGAATATTTGATTATTTGGAATTGTATATGCAGGCTATCTTTATCATGAATTTTGAAGTTATTATCCAAATATGATATCTTCAATATCGCTTTTTATGCAAAAATAATTCATTGATCTTGCTTTTACTGCTCGAAACATAGAAATGTTTTGTGATATAATTGCTTATCCAAAGCTGGACTTTGTGCTGCAGAGGAAACTTGCCTATTTTCTTTATCTTTGCAGGCAACCTTATCTTTATTAATGTTGATTCCCGGTGATATTGGACAATTAATCGATTTCTTTAGTTTTGCTGCATGGCTGTTTTATGCACTGGCTATCGTTAGTTTGTTTATTTTACGATGGAAAATGAAAGATGCTCATAGACCAATAAAAGTGAGTATTATTTTTAATTAGTTACACACTTTAAAGTCCAATGATCTATATATACATGTACAAAAGGTGTGCAAATTCCTCATAATAGAGGCCTACGGATACGAAGAACTACACCAAAAAGACGTAGAATACATTTGAAATGAGCGATATAGGTATGTGCTTAACATTTAGGCAATTTTCAATATGAGATTTTTTTTTGGCAAACAGGAGTTACTTTTTTTGCAGAACAATTGATTATTCTTCAAAAGAAGAAATGTTAAAAGACTGTTAAAAGTTATACTGTTTTCAAAATTAATTACGGAAAGTCTTTATCGACTTGTTATTAAACAAAAACATCAATTTATGACAAAGTTCAATTTTTTTCAGGTGTTTTTATTGCTGCCAGTAATATTTTTAGCCTGTTCTATTTACCTAGTTATTGCACCAATAATTCAAGATCCAAGAATAGAATTTCTTTATGCTGCTATTTTTATGGTCGGTGGTCTAGTGTTTTATATTCCGTTGGTACATTTCCAACTGATGACAGGGCGATTTGGTAAGTAAGTTTCAAAATTTAAGATAACACATCAAGTATTATCAAATACTTTTAAATTATTAGAAAGCAATGTTTTATAGCAAGATTCTATTAGTGACGACCGAACTAGAGAATTAATGAACAAAAGATAACATATACATGTTTATTTTCTTTATAAATAGGACAACGACACTACAACACGAAAAGTTTAAGTACAATTGCATAATAAGGTCTTCAGATACAATAAGAGATAATTAATCAACCATAAATAATTTCAAAATAAAAATCAGAAGATGTGGTATAATTTTCAATTAGACAACCATAACAGTCTGAAAAAAAGCTAAACAACATGCAATGCCAAAACTATGCATCGACTGGATGTAGAACCATTATTTCTCACAACTGTAAAGCAAAACACTTATACCCCGCTCAAAAAGTTGATGTGTATTGCATTCACCTCGTCCGTCTACTCGTAAGGCCGCCCAACCATATACATTCGTTCGTGTAATAAAAAATAATTTCCATCACATATTTGTAAGGTTTTGCACAGAATTATAAAAATAAGATGTGGTATAATTGCCAATGAGACAACTCCCCAACAGAGACCAAATGACATAGAAGTTTACAACTATAGGTCACCGTACGGCCTTCAACAATGAGCAAAACTCATACTTTCATATTTGATCAGCAGCTTGATAGTAATGAGTTTTAACGTGTGAGCCCTATCAGATACCTATTTCCAGCTTGTCGGTACATTGATGTATTTTCTGCTAATTATACATGCTATGTTTTACATGTGATCAACTGGTCATTGTCCATACTTTGGTATATTAGGGTTATGAAAATTTTTGAAATATAAACTTGAACTATTTTAGATTTATATTTTATTCTTTTAGACACAGTCACTCGGTTTTTACAGAAACTTATGGAAGTTGCTCCAAGCCCTTATGTTCCAGACTTTGACTGAAAATAGAAAAAAAATACAAGGAAACAAATACAAATACGTTTGAATAATATCATAGCATGTATATTTCATTAGAATCCGTAATTTTAATTGGCTGACAACAATCGTGATGCACACCAATTCCATATAAAATACAACAGCTATGACTGCACGTGCTATCCGTGACATTGTTAACAATGCATAGAAGAAAAATTAAACCCCAGAAACTTGAAAATACTCTCAATTCCATGTTACTAGTATAACAATGTAATTATAAGAATTGAATACTTCTTTTAATTTTATAATTTTATAGGGTTGTAAAAGCTTTGATCGTGCGCATATTTTTAGAATGAACCGATTCTGCGCCTTATACAATATGTGTTTCGGTCAACGCTTTAATTTACACCCCAATAAAGTTATAAAAAGAAGCATTCATTTTTTTTTATTTGAGAAAAAAATGCATATTCGCACACGCCATATAATTAGAGTTTTGTGTTGTCAGATACAATCAATTCCATTGCATTATTCTTAAAATTGTATACGGAACATGATACATTTTTGTTGTCTTGGGTGATGTATACATAATGTGTATTGTACTTCAACTATGTATTGTATTACATTTCAATTTATTGTTGTAAAAATTTAATTGTAAGCTTTAATAATTGTTTATTTTAACTATATTCTAGAAATAGCAACATCGGAAATATGTTAAGGCTGTTTACATGTAACATTTCAGAGATATACGTTTTTAGTTTTTAGGTAATAACATATTATTTACTTTTGTACAGCTTAGCAACAACTTTTAAAAAAGTAATATATCAGAGATATACGTTTTTAGTTTTTAGATTATAACATATTTTTCACTTTTGTACAGCTTTACAACAACTTTTATGAAAGAAATATGTCAGAGATATTCGCTTTAAGTTTTTAGGTAATAACATATTATTACTAACTTTTGTACAACTTAGCAACAACTTTTAAAAAGCTTAGTATTATAAAGAAACATATGTTAAGGCTGTTTACATGTAACATTTCAGAGATATACATTTTTAGTTTTTAGGTAATAACAAAGTATTTACTTTTGTACAGCTTAGCAACAACTTTTGAAAAAGTAACATATCAGAGATATACGTTTTTAGTTTTTAGGTAATAACATATTTTTCACTTTTGTACAGCTTTACAACAACTTTTATAAAAGTAATATGTCAGAGATATTCGCTTTAAGTTTTTAGGTAATAACATATTATTCACTTTTGTACAGCTTAGCAACAACTTTTAAAAAGCTTAGTATTATAAAGAAACATAAATTGCATTGAAGTGAGTTACAAACCAATAATATTATTAATATAATAATGTTATTATCATAGAATACATGTAGCATCACCCCAAAAAAAGTTAATAATTGATTTAATTTTAATAGTTTCATACATTTCGTCTTATGGTTCGATTTAATCTTTTAAAATCATACTCAATTTTTAAAAAAGCAAAACCTTCCGTTATTAGAAATGTTTCTTTTTCATTGGAATTTAAAAATGATAGTTAAATTTGCTACTAAATGGGCAATTACACTTTAAAAATTTGACGCGTTCGAAGCGCTTTTCTGGAACTATTATAATTAAAAATATATCAGGTATTTGTTGTATATATTGTTTTGTATTTTATGAAAATAAATTAACATTGCTGAACCTATGAGGTACATCAAAAATAAATGATAGATTCATATAAGTATGTTATTGATGTATTTGAACTTCAGCAATTTCAGACTTGACAAAGGGGGAGTACGAATACATAACATTGTCGTACAATTTACAATATATGACATGTAGCGTTGTCGCTCCCCCCCCTGCATCCTTTATTGCAAGAAAAATAAATAGTATAACTTATCTGCAATTTACATATTATAAGTATAAAATAAAATCTTCCATCACTGTTTCCATATTGACTGTTTCACAAATGTACCTGACTGTAACATGTACTTGCTTTTCGTTCTGCATGTACTTTTTTCCATTTAATGTGTTTAGTGTAGGAGACTTGTGTACAAAAAGTATCCCAAAAACATTAAAACGGAACAAATAGCACTCTTCGTGTTGCTCAAAGAAACACAACTCCGGTGAGTTCATGCAATGTACGAATCACCGCTTTAAATTTTTCTAGATATATACGGTTTTAAGTGACTTAAGTACATGTAAGTTATGTATAAACATAATTGTCGATGAGTACGGGAACGTTTAAGCGTAACTATTATGTGCCGCCACCACAAACTGTCTACGTAGAATATTGTAACTTGTTTTTGCTTATGTTTGAATAGAATATTGAACTGTACAGTATTATTTTGTTAAGAATCAAAACGCGAAATACACAACTCAAAACCTAACAATAATCATGGAAAGCAAAATATACATAGACACACATCAGAATAATCAAAATCATTTAACGTTTATCGTACTAAGATCTACTACGGTATTTGATCTTTCAACAATACATACAAACGATTTAAGTTGAGAATGTGTTAATGCGTTCGTCATACCTCATGAACATTGTAGAAACAGATACTACAAGGCAAACGAGTCCCTAGTGCTAAAAGCCAGCCGTTAGTGAAGTCCCTCCATTGGTAATAAATCAAATCTGTTCAAAGTAGTCCTAAAAGTTTCAAAGTTCGCTTGGATATACATATGTATAATACATATATTACATATTTATGCAATTTTAAAGTCTTTACGGTTCATTAGAGCAGAACGTCCTGTTTCTTTTTATAAGTTTAAAATTAAATCCAGTTAATTTGTAAACACCTACACCTCACAATCGTGCGTTTAAACTATTCTGTCAATGCAGTTCTTTTATGCGCCGTGTACAAGATGGAAAATAAATCGTATTCAGGTAAGAAACCTACAGAAATACTGGTCCGAGACAAAGTAAACAAACTTTGAAAGTTATAAATAAAAAGTATATGTTATAATTATGCGCTAAAGAACTTTCACTATACAAACTTAACAGGTGTGATACGATATGCTTTTATTTTAGTTACAGATACACATGCAGTGTTATATTTTGCAGTTATGAACACACAATCGTCCGAATGTACTAACACATTATCAATCAATGCGTTCCGTCTCCGTTTTTGTGAAATTAACGTACATAATCAAACGATACGGAAGTGTTATATACATTGAATGAACTTAAGGTCAAGGATCAATATCAAATTGGGCGATGTCACATATATGTTTGTTAGTCAACTTTTTCGATCCTGTTTGCATTATTGTGAATTCTATATACAATTGTACTAATTTTTGCGGATTTAAGGAAAACTCATCTTTCCGAACGGTGGATTCTTTCATTTCGTTGATATTACAAATTACAAATTCTTCCAACAAGTCTATAGACTAAGGCTACTTGTATTTTGTTTAACAAAGAAGTTTGGGGTTTCACCTATTCCTATGAAATGAAAGAAAAATAGTATCTACGAACAATACTGAACCATAGTGTGTTTTATATAGATGCAGAGTCACATAGCAGTCACCAGGGTATATTTTTTTCGCCAATGTGTGGACAATTTCTTGACAAAAAACCGCAATAATTAGTTTCAAATAAAAAAATTAGGAAATCTTTCAACTATGTGTACTGTTAGTGTTACAGTTTACGTCCATGTACGACTTCAAATAAATCTTATCGATAAAGTGAGAGGACGCCACTAATGTTGTTATAACTTGTGTCCAATCCCTTTTGCTACTTTTGCAAATAAAATATGTTTAAACTAAACTATCGATAAAGTGTGGAATGGAGGCCTTTTTAATTTCATGCTCTGTTCATGATAACTGTACGTCAGTGTTAAAATATTACATATGGTGACAATGGTATTATTTTCAAGCCAAGTTATAAAAAAACCTCATTAATGTTAGAAACATTATTAAGCCGGTGGCGTGGTTTTGCAGGATTTATCTTTTTGCTTCAATAATGACAAATAAGTTGGCAGGTCTGTGTAACAAGACATTACTCAAAATACGTTGTGTCATCATATAAAAAAAATATGATAAATACCTTAGTTTAGAAATCAGATCAACTACATTGCGCTTTTAGTTGTACCGAAAACACTTTAAGAACAACAGATTTACATCACTGTGTGCAATTTTTACTAGTGTATTTGAAGATTTCAAAATAAGACGCAGGTGTCATTTATTTCCTTGAATATATATAGTTGGAAGGAAGAAAAAAATCGCCAACAATTTTATTAAATAGTGTGAAAAATTTTTGTTGTTGAAGTGATTTGTTAATACCGAAATTTAGGCTTAATTTAGAAATTCTTAATTTCTAAAATCAGTGCTTTTAACTTTGAAAATTAATATCCATATGAATATCAATATTGTTTTTTGACATATCAATAACTGTAACCTGTCTTTTGTTATATACATGTATTGAGAAAAGTGCGTTTAAGTCGAACACAATCCAGCAGGTTTAAGAAACCAATAGTACATTGACCCCAGGCTGTATACATGTTCCGGTTCTGCGCGTTTATATCTATAATTATTTATCCAAAAAATCAAACTCTGTAAAATCTTATCGACTGTAAAACAACTTTTCATAACAAATAAATGTAAACCGTTTCTTACCACTTTGATCTCGTATATATAAAAATTTGTGTGGGAATATCACAATACCGAACTAATTATTATATCCTTATAATAGTGAAAAATACGTGGGAAAGATTTGATATTCAGAGAATATAGCGAACGTCGTATGACATTTGCGCCGATTTATAAATTTTCAATCTTTCATTTGCACCGATTTGGTTGTTTCATTTGCGCCGATTCAATCATTTCAAGTTCCATTTGCTCCTTTTTGCATTTTCGTGCTGTGCTTTTTTCATGGCGTAAAGAGTTTTTTATTGTCCTTTTATATTTCAAAGGCTGTAACTAGATTTTATATCATTTAATATTTAATTGCTATACTCAGTTATTTTAGTGGATGTAAACAGAGTGCTTTTAACCTTAAAATTGACTTGTTTTGCTCGAAATCCTGCTTCCACCTCCCCATTGTGGGCAGGGGCAACAGGTATATGCATGTTTTAATTGATGATTCATAACATGTATAACTGGCTAGCGGAAGAGGTTTATAATAATAAATAAAAATAGTTTTCATCTGTAATTTACCTGTAAAACAATCGGCGCAAATGAACGAAATAATCAGCGCAAGTGAAAGAAAAAATCGGCGCAGGTGAAATGCAGATCGGCGCAAATGCAAAACGCCGAGCGAAAGTGCTAAGATTTTGGAACAACAAGACCATACTGGTTGATTGTGTGTCATTTCTTAACAACTAACTCTAAACGTATATTCATATATTAATTAAAAAAAAAAAAAAAAAAAAATAGGACTTAATATATTTTGCACTTATGTGGCTCAAAATTGTTTAGGTGAGATTCAATCAGGACTATTTTTTGCAAAATAATAATGAAGATTTAGAGAACTTCTTCAAATTTGCACAAAGTATAGGGAAAATTCAAATGCTTAAACCAAGAAATATAAAGAAATAAGACACACGTAATACTGGTGTAGCTACTCCCTTACCAGGTTTACCATTCTATACCATAACTAGGTGTCTGGATGCACTGTGTTTACTGAATAAAGAGAAGAATGTGCAGAAAATAAAGAAAAGAGAAGACTGCTAAAGTATTAAGAATAGAAAAAAAAAAAATGCCCCCTCCCCCCCCCCAAAAAAAAGAAAAAAAAAGAGAGAGAATTTGAATAAATAATACATGATACAGCAATGTGAACCCCTATCCACAACCTTACACCTTACAATTATTATAAACAAAAGTATAGTACAATGTAGTTACTGACCATGAAACTAAATAAATGGTGACACTAGTAAACAATGTATATATTGTATAAAACACAATTTTATTTACGCATACAGAAACTGATTTAAAAGTAGATTTTGACTTGCACAATTTGTAACATCGTTACATGTATAAATCATTTCAACTTCGTGTCGTCTTAATGTTTATCTTTTAGTATATAAGTTATTGAGCCTGCTAGGGATCACGAGTGAATCACTCGTGGTCCACGGGGTTCTCCATCGAGACTATTATAACCTTGGGTAGTAACAAACGTATCGGATCTATCAACATTGTATTATAAGTATATTGCTATTTATATTAAATTAAATCCTCCTCTAACGGAGCAAATCAAAGAACTGAAGTACTGAACATCGGATGACTGCAAGTTCTCGTGGATGGTCACAAGCACTTGTCTCAGAAAAAAAATCACATCTCTATACCTGAACTTGAGTGAGGTTAATGTACAGATATAAATTTTTTTTTCTTAGACAAGTTCGTGCGTGGATGATAAATAAATGACAGGGAATTCAACCTCACCGTAATAAATATGACATTGAAGCAAGGATTTGCAAATCCTTGATTGAAGTGATACAAATCAGTATACTCTGCATGGTTTGTTGTTATATGTTATATTAATATTTGTATACTATAGTTACATGTATATATAATTTTCATCCATTTGTGTATCATTCTATTCTACTATATTAATAATAGTGCAGTGCAAGTGCACGGTGGACACTCTTCTGTAATAATTCGATTTTTCTAATAGATTGGATTTGAGAAGGCATTCATGTTTTCCCGCCAAACTTTCAATCTCCCATGCAGAGTTATCGGTCCTTAAGAGAGAGCGAGGACCGTTAACTCTGCATGGGAGATTGCAAACGTTCTTGTGATATTCTTCCACATGCGTTAACACACATTTTCTGTACGTGTGCATAGATATTAAAGATTTTTTACTTATATCTGGGAACAGTATATCTAATAACGGAAAATTAAAACTATAAGAAGAAGGCCACATTTAATACAGTTTTGAGTTAATACAATATAAGGTAAATTTTCTTACATTACCATGATTACCATCCATCTCGATATTTTCTAATGACAAAACAGGGGCGTATCCAGGATTTTAGGTAAGGGGGCGCAAACTTAAATTTTTTGCCGAGGGGAGCGAGGGAAAAATTTTTTTGAGGTAAAATTATCGGAATATTCTTTATTAAGCTGAGAACAACCTTGCTTTGCAAATTTTAGGGGGGGGGGGGGGGGGCACGCCCTCCAAGCCCCAGCCTGAATCCGCCCCTGCAAAATATAAAATATGAAAAATAAAATAAAATAGATAAAACAAGATAAAATAAAAATAAAATAAAATCGTAAAATAAAATAAAATCAAGTAAAACAAATAAATGCAATACAATAAAATCGAGTGAAATAAAATTAAATAAAATTAAATAAAATTAAAAAAAAATAACATAATTCTATCCATTATCCAACTTTTGGTTGGACGCTATCGATAATTATCTCTGAATATGCAGAAAATGCTAACCCGTTCCCATGCGTTCATGTTCTCTGTCTTTAATGTCTGTACTTCTGAGATTGTTTAATCAAGGTGTTATCTTGTATTTCCCAAGTCAATTGTATTGCTTATTTTGTATCTGTTATGTCTTTTGTACAAAAACACATAAGGGAGAACCTATCAAATTGTTATTAATATCATGAATTCGATTGCAAAATGCCAGAATTGACTATCTGATATTTTGAATTTTGAGAGAGAGAGAGAGATAAAGAGAGAGAGAGAGAGAGAGAGAGAGAGAGAGAGAGATGTCTTTCTGGATTTATGTCATTGATGTATTTCGTACTCTTCTTCCAAAATACCCTTAACCTGAGATTCAAATGTCCAAAAAATATTTAACAACAGGTTAAATCCCAAATAGACCGACATACATTGTTTGCGCTATATAAATGTAGTCTGTTAAAAGGTTGACATGTAAAAAGGACAATATTGCTTATGAACACACCACGCCCGGATCAACTTTACAAAACTTTGAATTT